TTGTGGATTTATCCAGTATTTGTTATTTCCCTTGACTTAGAAAAGACCGTTTCATTATGTTGTATTATTTGTTCCTTGAGTGCTTGAGTTAGAATCAACCACTCTACAGGAATAATGATCAACATCATTAATTACAGGAATAATGATCAACATCACTGTGAAGCTATGCACCTCGGACTTTGCATGTGGATTTTTTAGCTCACCTGTCAATCTTCTTTGAAAAAAACCAAATAGCTAGAGTTTAGATACTAAGCATGAAACATCTTCTAGTGAGTGTCTACCAAGTTTGTTGTAATAAAAGCCCTGGGGTCAAAATTGGCCCCGCCCCAGGGGTCATTCATTTTCCTTTTATGTGTATAACAAAAACTTAAAAAATCTTCTTTGAAAAAACTCAAATAGCTAGAGTTTAGATATTAAGCACGAAGCATCTTCTAGTGAGTGTCTACAAAGTTTGTTCAAATAAAAGCCCTGGGGACAAAATTGGCCCCGCCCCGGGGGACATTGATTTTCCTTATATGTGTATAGCAAAAACTTAAAAATCTTCTTCGAAAAAACCCAAATAGCTGAATTAGATATTAAGCATGAAACATTTTCTGGTAAGTGTCTACAAAGATTGTTCAAATAAAAGTCCTTGGGTCAAAACTGGCCCTGCCCCAGGTGTGTCATTGTTTTTAACTATATGTGTAAAGAAAAAACTTGACCAGCTAGACCTTAGATGTTTAGCATGAAACATTTTCTAATGGGTGTCTACCAAGTTTGTTCAAATAAAAGCCCTGGGGTTTAAACTGGCCCCGCTCCGGGGGCCTATATACAGGTGAGCGACTTCAGGGCCATCATGGCCCTCTTGTTTCAATTTTGTTAGAGTTATTGCCCTTGACTTACAGTAGTATAAATTTGCAATTTTCAACTTGTTCATGCATAGCTCAAAAAGTATTTGACTTGTAGGCCTGATAGTTTACAAGAATGTTGGTCAGCATGTGTACTTATGCACCTTGGGGTTTGCTTGTGGATTTATTCAGTATTTGTAAAGTTCTTGCCCTTTACTAAGTAAAGAATTTTTAGTTTTCAACTTGTTGCACATGTAGTCCAAAACATATTTGACCTAGTTTCATTTATTTAAATTAATTAGACCTGAAATATAAGGAAATGTGATTTTTGTGTCGCCTCTACGGAGTAGTGGCGACATATAGGGATCACTTCTCCGTCATCTGTCTGTCCGCACTCACAGGAGAGTAATTATGTGGCTAGAGGGACAATAGGTTCTCTTTGATGTCATTCATTCCGTAATGCTTTTATGTGGCTATTTTTCTTTTGCGTGGCTAAAAGAACAATAGAGAGAACAATAGAGTAGCCACATAATTACTGTCCTGTGAGAACGTCCGCCCGTCCGTCCGTCTGTCTGTCACAAAACTTGTCCGGACTACTCCTCATAATCTACTGGTGCAATTTCATCCAAACTTTACAGGAATGATCAGTACCAAGTCTACTTGTGCATATTGTCAGCATTTTCCGTTTCAATGATTTTTGTCAGAGTTATGGCCCTTTAATAATTTTTATTTTTAAAGTTTGTCCGGACTACTTCTCTTATACCACTAATGCAATTTCAATGAAACTTTACAGGATTGATCTGTAGCTCAAGTCCTTGCGCATATTGCATGGGTTTTCCGGTTGAATGATTTTTGGCCGAGTTATTGCCCTTTGATAAAAAGGTGTTTTTTTCTGTGTGTTGCCAGATACACAAAAGCTTGTACGGACTACTCCTCATAAACTACTGGTGCAATTTCATCCAAACTTTACAGGAATGATCAGTACCAAGTCTAGTTGCGCATATTGTCAGCATTTTCCGGTTCAATGACTTTTGTCAGAGTTATGGCCCTTTAATAATTTTTAGCTCGACTTTTTTTTTTTGAAAAAAAAAGTAGAGGTATTGTTATAGTCAGGTTGGCGTTGCCGTTGCCGTTGCCGTCCGAAAACTTGTACCTGGATCATAACTTTTTTATTTCTTGGTGTATTGTCTTCATACTTGGCCACAACAACCCTTGGGACAAGACCTTTCAGTAGACCACACTAACCTTGACCTTCATCCATAAATGACCTTGACCTTCAAGGTTAAAAGTCCAATTTTTTGCTTGTTCATGCTGTTATTGGCTGTAACTTTGTTATTTTTGAATGGATTGTCTTCAACTTGAACATAATAATCTTCAAGGATATCCCTTCAAAATAACCAGTCAGACCTTGACCTTCACTCATAAATGACCTTGACTTTGAAGGTCAAATGATTGAAATTTTCATTTTTTTGGCTATTATTGGCTGTAACTTTGTTATTTTTGAATGGATTGTCTTGAAACTTGAACATAATAATCTTCAAAGATAACTGTTAAAAATATACCGAAAGACCTGGACCTTCACTCATTAATGACATTGTCTTTGAAGGTCAAATTATTGAAATTTTCATTGTTTTGGCGGTAACTGACTGTAACTTTGCTATTATTGAAGGGATAAACTTCATATTATAACAGAACATTCTTAAGGACCAGACCTTGTTGTTTATCAAACCCAAATTTGGTTGGGCTCTTTAATGACCTTGACCTTGAAGGTTATATTACTGAATTTGAATTTTCTCAGATTTGTGCATTTATTGGTGTGTGTATATATAATATATATATATATATCATGTATAGTATATGTATTATATATATATATATAAATGTGTGTGTGTGTATATATATATATATATATTTATATATATATATATATATATATACATAAATGCATATATATATATTATATATATATATACACACATATACATATATATTATATATGCATGTATATATATATTATATATATATATATACATGCATATATATATATACATATGCATGTATATATATATATACAGACACGTATATATATATATATATATATATATAAATTGCGTCATTTTTTCTATTTTTAGAAATTGCATCATTTTTTTCTATTTTTAGAAATTGCGTCATTGTTTCTATTTTTAGAAATTGCGTCATTTTTTTCTATTTTTAGAAATTGCGTCATTTTTTCTATTTTTAGAAATTGCGTCATTTTTTCTATTTTTAGAAATTGCGTCATTGTTGCTATTTTTAGAAATTGTTGCTATTTTTAGAAATTGCGTCATTTTTTCTATTTTTAGAAATTGCTTCATTTTTTTCCTATTTTTAGAAATTGTGTCATTGTTGCTATTTTTAGAAATTGCGTGATTGCGTCATTTTTTCTATTTTTAGAAATTGCGTCATTTTTTCTATTTTTAGAAATTGCGTCATTTTTTCTATTTTTCATTTTTTCTATTTTTAGAAATTGCGTCATTTTTTCTATTTTTAGAAATTAAAAATTGCGTCATTTTTTCTATTTTTAGAAATTACGTCATTTTTTTTTTATATTTTAGAAATTGTTGCTATTTTTAGAAATTGTGTCATTTTTTCTATTTTTAGAAATTGCGTCATTTTTTTTCTATTTTTAGAAATTGCGTCATTTTTTCTATTTTTAGAAATTGCGTCATTTTTTCTATTTTTAGAAATTGCGTCATTTTTTCTATTTTTCATTTTTTCTATTTTTAGAAATTGCGTCATTTTTTCTATTTTTAGAAATTAAAAATTGCGTCATTTTTTCTATTTTTAGAAATTACGTCATTTTTTTTTCTATTTTTAGAAATTGTTGCTATTTTTAGAAATTGTGTCATTTTTTCTATTTTTAGAAATTGCGCCATTTTTTTTCTATTTTTAGAAATTGCGTCATTTTTTCTATTTTTAGAAATTGCGTCATTGTTGCTATTTTTAGAAATTGCGTCATTTTTTCTATTTTTAGAAATTGCGTCATTTTTTTCTATTTTTAGAAATTGCGTCATTTTTTCTATTTTTAGAAATTGCGTCATGTTGCTATTTTAAGAAATTGCGTACTGTTGCTATTTTTAGAAATATGCTTAATGTTTCTATTCATATATATATACAAAATATATAAACCAAACTAATGTGACAAGACAGACCAACTAAATTTATATAAAGGAAACGTTAATATATGTTCAAACCTTTCTATGTTTGCGTTTAGAAAAAGTAAAAAGTCGAGCGTTGCCCCCGCCCGGCGGTGGCTCTTGTTATTTTTAAAGTTTGTCCGGACTACTTCTCTTATACCACAAATGCAATTTCAATGAAACTTTTTCTGGATTGATCTGTAGCTCAAGTCCTTGCGCATATTGCACGGGTTTTCCGGTTGAATGATTTTTGGCCGATTTATGGCCCTTTGATAAAAAGGTGTTTTTTTCTGTGTGTTGCCAGATATGCAAAAGCTTGTCCGGACTACTCATAAACTACTGGTGCAATTTTATCCAAACTTTACAGGAATGATCAGTACCAAGTCTAGTTGTGCACTGTCCGTCTGTCTGTCCGTCTGTCACAAAATTTGTCCCAACATGAAATTGGCCATCATGAGGCGACACATGTGATTACTGATCGCTCTTGTCTAATTTTAACATGTTTATTGTTATCTTCATTTTCCTGACAGCCAACCCATTCATAAACGAAACGTTGGAGGTTGATACATTTTTTGAAGTAGATAGTTTTTTATCAAGTTTCCAGAGTGGTTTGAAATCTTCGTATCAATAATAATAATAATAAGAGTGTATCTTTGCCGGAGACCTTTTATTTTTAGGGTTGTTTTGTTATTGTTTATTTTGTTTTTTCTGGTAATATAGAATTAAATAGGCCCATTCACTATGTGGTACTTTTTACGAACTGACGCAGATATAACAAATAACTAACAAACTTTCTAATAGATATCTATACATTCTCATCATTGTACGTTAATATTTTAGTATAATATATGTATAGATAATTCCTGTTACATCAATACTTGGTGGTTGAAAACCTGGTTTTCGTCGCATTGCGGCACTTCTTGTTTACTTTCTTTTGACTGAAATCGAACATAAAGCTTATGACATATAAAAGTTTATAAATTATTTATTAATATAGTTGATGTACGTGTATCACTGACAAAATTTCATCAATATTCAACATGGAAAGAAGTTGGAAAACTGAGAACTTGGACAATAGAAGATCAAAATCCAACCAGTAAAGTGACAGCTCTTGTATATATGATAAGACATTCCAGCCAGCCCTGTACAATCAATTGCAGAAGTTTGATTGAAAATTCAAACAAAGTTTTTCCTCATGTGTTAGATGTACACCAATATAAAGCATGTGTCTGTTTGGATACAAAGTTGTATTTAATACAGTTGGGAGGTAAGGAAGGAAATTTTTTTATCATGTTTAAAATCTTATGTCAAATTTTCTGTATGTAGATAAGATACATATTGAAAAGTGAAATTTGCTCAGTCTTTATTATGCATATTTCATGCAAAAAAAATTTGTTACAAGGTTTCCAATATATCTGATAATACCAGTTTAATTGGATGGGGACTAGGTTTACACTCCATCTGTCGCTCTGTCTGTTTGTCAGTCTGCAAAACTGGATCCCACGATAACACAAAAGTATGAAAAATATTTTTATGAAACTTGAAATATGGGTAGATGGCTGTCTGGAGATAATAAATATGCACATCTTATTTCTTTTTTTTCCTATGTTGAAATATTTGGTTGCTATGGCAACAAATAGGCTTAAAATATGGCAAAAATAACAGTATTTGTGATTACTCAAAAAGTTCTGAAAACATTTCTGTGAAACTTAAAATATGGATAGATGGCAATGGAAATTATACACATCATTTTAATCTTTACTAAAGAAAGTATATTGACAGCTGTCCTACTTACCAAGCGTCAGTGACCTTGTCAAGATTTCAGATTCAAGTTTTTACGCTTTTTATGACTCCCTTTGAAGAAGAGGGGGTTTATTGTTTTTTGCTTATGTCCGTCGGTCTGTCGGTCATATCTAGTAGATGACCCCTATTGATTTTGGGGCACTAGGTCAAAGGTCAATGTCACAGGGGCCTTAAATGTCAGAATGGATTCCTCTAATTATCTTGTAAAGTATTCATTACAAAGTTTTCATATTTCACATAGTGATTGATCATAACTACTAGATGACCCCTATTGATTTTGGGGTCATTAGGTCAAAGGTCAAGGTCACAGGTGTCTTACATGTCAGAATGGTTTCTGCTCATTATCTTGGTTACTATTTATCACAAAGTCTTAATATTTCACATATTGATTGGTTATAACTAGTAGATGACCCCTACTGATTTTGGGGTCACTAGGTCAAAGGTCAGGTTCACAGGGCCTTGAATGGTAGTATGAACTTATTATCTTGGTTACTATTTATCACAAAGTCTTCATATTTCACATATTGATTGGTCATAACTATTAGATGACCCCTATTAATTTTGGGGTCACCAGGTCAAGGTCACGGGGGCCATAAATGTTAGAATGCTTTCTGCTCACTTTCTTTACAAATGCTTCATATTTCACATATTGATTGGTCATAACTAATAGATAACCCCTTTGGATTTTGGGGTCACCAGGTCAAAGGTCAAGGTCACAGGGTACTTGAATGGTAGTATGATTTCAGGTTATTATCTTGAAAACTTATTGTCACAAAGTCTTCTTATTTCACATAGTGATTGGTCATAACCAGTAGATGACCCTTATTGCTTTTGGGGTCGCCAGTTTAAAGATCAAGGTCATAGGGGCCTTAAATGTCAGAATGGTTTCCGCTTATTATGTTGAAAATTATTTATCACAAAGTCTTCATATTTCACATACTGATTGGTCATAACTAGTTAGTGACCCCTATTGTTTATGGGTCACTAGGTCAAAGGTCAATATCACAGGGTCCTTGAATGTTAGTATGGTTTCCGTTCATTATCTTGAAAGCTATTTGTCACTAAGTCTTCATATTTCTAATATTGATTAGTCATAACTATTAGATAACCCCTATTGATTTCGGGTCACTAGTTCAAAGGTCAAGGTCACATGGGCCTTAAATGTCAGGATGGTTTCTGCTTATTATCTTGAAAACTATTTATCACAAAGTCTTCATTATTTTTCTTTTCTTTACACTTCCATGTACCCTTCACACTTCCATGTACCCATTTATGGCAAGTTTCTATAACAAAATAACCAATAATGTGAGTCAAGGGCTAGAAAGGGGGCATATGTGCCGTTCGACATTTTTTGTCCACTATAAGTTCTTTATTAGTCCCCTACCGGTTTAACCATTAACCAATTAATCATTAAATCAAGTTGTTTACAGATGCCTGTTACGTCATAATTTCCCCGGCCAGAGCAGGAAAAATCAATACTTGACAAGTTTATCTCCGTCAGCCGACTACCATATTGTCTACAATAATTTTGTGCTGCTTATTTATCGTACATGAACAAGGGGTTTATAGGACGAAAATAGTCGGAGATTTTTAGACAATTTTTAAACATAAAATTAATTTTCATTTTATGCAAATGTGCTTCTAATTAACGCCCCCCGTTTCCGTTTTTGCAACGCCCCGGGGGCAAAAAATGGAAACAATACGGTACTTCATATGTGATTTTAAAGACATGGGTTTCCAGGATTATTTTGAACTTGAAATTTCTTTGTGACTATAAACTTTAGATAATTGTTCTTTCTTTCACTCACATCATGTGTGAAACTGTTCATAATTCTAGTATCTTTATTTCAAGAGTTATCTACTCTTAGTTTAAAAATTTTGCTTTTAAAAATGTTATATTATGGTAACAACCATGGATTTTCAAAGATTTACCCTCAGAGTCTCTGTCAGTTGGCCTGTCTGTCTGTTTCTAAAAACTGTTTCCTGAGATCACCTTCTAAATAACTTTTTCAACAAGTTTACTTAAAATGAAGAAAAGTTGAAACGTTAGTTATACATATTCATCCTGAGAAAATTGGATCTTTTCCTTACAAGGCAGGGAAACTTAACACATTACTAATATATAAACAAACTAAGAACTCAAAAGATTAAAGTTCATTCATGTCATTCATTCATTCAATGGCATTCAATGGCATAATTCAGTGACCAATGGCCTTTCAAAATGTTGCTGGGGTTCTAACTGGTAGGGGACTTATAGATTGATTGCAATACTATATTAATTGCTTGTAAATTTAGATTATTTTATTGAGTGTGATTTTACTTCAGACAAGCAGCTTGATACTTCAATAATGTTTCCATATTTTCAGGTGATGAAGATAAAGGATGTGGTTGTCATTACAATAAATTCTGTTCAAAAGATACGCAGAAAGGCTGTGAATATATTTGCACAAACAAGGATGGAGTCAGTTGTGGAAAAATTCAGTCTTTATATTCTAAAACTAATCTAGCTGATTCAGTAGAAGTTCTTGAGACACTGAAAAAATATATACAGGTTCTATTTGTCTTTGAAGTTGTCCTTTTGCTAGAGATTGTTGATTCAGTTGTTCCATGGAAAAAGTGGTTATCAGTTAAAAATGTAGACCTAATGACATTGATGTTAAGGCCTCTAAGTGAAATACAAAATGATGGTGAAATCCAAAGAGCAGTTCATGATGAAGATGAAATTCGAAGAGAAATTCAAAATGAATGTCTGTTGATAGGGATTGTTGATTCAGCTGTTCCATGGAAAAAGTGGTTATTAGTTAAAAATGTAGACCTAATGATATTGATGTTGAAGACTCAAAGTGAAATTAAAATACAAAATGAAAGAAATGATGGTGAAATTCAAAGAGCAGTTCATAATGAAAATGAAATTCAAAATGGAGGTGAATGTCAAAAAGCAGTTCAAGATGAAGGTGAAATTCAAAGAAAAATTCAACATGAAGGTGAATTTCAAAGAGCAGTTCATGATGAAGATGAAATTCGAAGAGAAATTCAAAATGAATGTCTGTTGATAGGGATTGTTGATTCAGCTGTTCCATGGAAAAAGTGGTTATTAGTTAAAAATGTAGACCTAATGATATTGATGTTGAAGACTCAAAGTGAAATTAAAATACAAAATGAAAGAAATGATGGTGAAATTCAAAGAGCAGTTCATAATGAAAATGAAATTCAAAATGAAGGTGAATTTAAAAGAGCAGTCCAAAATGAAGGTGAAATTCAAAGAAAAATTCAAAATGAGGGATTTAGTGAAAACAAAGTTGACAAAAAGGACACTTGGTTACTAAGACTAGGTATGTTCAGTTTTAGCTTGATTATTTAAAACATGTCATCTGTATCATAATAACCATAAAGGTCGCTATAAAGGCCTGTAAGTCTTGGCATGGATGAAATATGGCCCTTTATGAATGTAAAACATTTCTAGTTAAAGTTTGCATGAAACATCAATCTTCAAAACTACTGAAAGTATTCACTTGAATTTTGATACATGTCTTAGGAATCATAATTTGAGGTTGTTGTCAAGTCTTGGCATAGGTTATGGCTATTTATATAGTGTTACCCTGTTCCGTCATTCTGTCCTACCGTCCTCCCATCTTTTCGTCATTCCATCATCATCAGTTTCCGTTCATTATCTTAGTAACGATTGCACACATTCAACTCAAATTTGACATATTGATGTATCATAAGAAAATACAGGTCAAGTTGGAATTTGGTCATTTGATGATTTTGACAAAAGATATGCATCTTGAGGAATTTTCAGTTTCCGTTCATTATCTCCCCAACGGTATTACACATTCAACTCAAATTTGACATATGGATACATCAAAGGAAGGCCAAGGTTGAATTTGGTCATGGTTCGATGATTTTTGCCAGAGTTATGCCCCTTTCACTTTGAAAATTATATGAAATTTTCAGTTTCCGTTCATTATCTCCACAATGGTGCTACATATTCAACTCAAATTTGACATATGGATATGTCTAAGGAATGCACAGGTTAAGTTTGAATTTGGTCGTGGTTTGATGATTTTTGGCAGAGTTATGCCCTTTTAACTTTGAAAATCAAAGCACTGAAAGCCCTGAGGTATACATTACTTGATAATGTAATCCATTTTTGTCATCAAGGCCATGTTGCCTTAACCTACTAATCTCAAAATCAATAGGGGTCATCTTCTGGTCAAGGTCAATGTCCCTAATCAGGCTGTGTGACCAACTTCTTAACTCTAGATGAAGCATACAAAATCTTGAACTAGAAATGTGTGCAAACCTGGGTTATAGTATGGTGAATGATGGGTGGCGGTGGGCGGGGAATAATATACCGCCTCGGTGGTCGAGGGGTTAGAGTCGATGACTTCTAATCCAGTTACCTCTCTGGCGTGGGTTCGATCCCCGGGAGATGCTTTGGTAGTTTAGCGCGGAGGAAGGTAGTCTAGTACTGGTGTAACTCTCCAGGAACGATGGTTAGGAAACTACCCGCCTATATGACTGAAATACTGTTGGAAAAAGGCGTAAAATGAAACAAACAAACAAACAAACAACAATTTTCGTAACAGTTATCTCAGCAACTACTTATCACAGCCTCTTGATATTTAGCATACATCATTGACACATGGTCCCATACTGCAGGATTCGATTTCAAGTCTATCGCTCATCCACTTCCTGGTTACCGACTTAGTTAAATTTTCGACATTAATGGTCAATAATAGGAAATTTTCGTAACAGTTTTCTCAGCAACTACTTATCACAGCCTCTTGATATTTGGCATACAGCATTAGCACATGGTCCCCTACTGTGAGATTCAATTTCAGATCTGTCACTCATTCACTTCCTGTTTATCGACTTAGTTAAATTTTCGACATTAATGGTCAATGGTAGGAAATTTTCGTAACAGTTTTCTCAGCAACAAGTTATCACAGCCTCTTGATATTTGGCATACAGAATAAGCACATGGTGCCATGCCATGGGATTCGATCTCAGATCTGTCACTCATTCACTTCCTGTTTACCGCCTCCATGGTCAAGGGGTTGGAGTCGATGACTTCTAATCCAGTTACCTCTCTGGCCTGGGTTCGATACCCGGGAGATGCTTTGGTAGTTTAGCACGGAGGAAGGTAGTCTGGTACTGGTGTAACTCTCCAGGAATGATGGTTAGGAAACTACCCCCCTATATGACTGAAATACTGTTGAGAAATAAAACTTCCTGTAAATTTTCCACATTTTCCACATTAATACATACAAATTATCATGAAATTCAACTTAAAAAAAAAAATCTGAATAGAAGCTTTGAAATAAATTGACAAATTGTTGAAAATTCCCTATCAAGATCTGCTTGTTTATAGTATCTGTATCTGAGTATGTTACTTAATTTTCAAATGTTACTAAACTGGATGAGCTGCAAAACTTTATTTGATGTGTCGTTATAGAATTGCGTGTTTCTATTTATAGAATTGCGTGTTTCTATTTATAGAATTGCGTGTTTCTATTTATAGAATTGCGTGTTTCTATTTTTAGAATTGCGTGATTCTATTTTTAGAATTGTGTGTTACTATTTTTAGAATTGGGTGTTTCTATTTTTAGAATTGCGTGTTTCTATTTTTAGAAATTGTGTTTTACTATTTATAAAAATTGTGTGTTTCTATTTTTAGAATTGCGTGTTTCTATTTTTAGCTCACCTGTCACAAAGTGACAGGGTGAGCTTTTGTGATCTCTTTTCGTCCGGCGTCCGTCCGGCGTCCGTCCGTCCATAAACTTTTACTTTAAATGACATCTCCTCATAAACCACTAAGCCAATTTCATCCAAACTTCACAGGAATGTTCCTTTGGTGGTCACCTTTAAAAATTGTTCAAAGAATTTAATTCCATGCAGAACTCTGGTTGCCATGGCAACCGAAAGAAAAAACTTTAAATATCTTCTTTTAAAAAACCCAAAGAGCTAGAGCTTAGATATTTGGCATGAAGTATCTTCTACCAAGTTTGTTCAAATAAAAGCCCTGGGGTCAAAATTGGCCCGGCCCCAGGGGGTCATAGATTTTCCCTATATGCATATAGTAAAAACTTAAAAAGTCTTCTTTTTAAGAACCCAAAGAGCTAGAGCTAAGATATTTAGCATGAAACATCTTCTAATGAGTGTCTACCAAGTTTGTTCAAATAAAAGCCCTTGGGTCAAGATTGGCCCCGCCCCAGGGGGTCATTGATTTTCCCTATATGCATATAGTAAAAACTTAAAAAATCTTCTTTTAAAGAACTCAAAGAGCTAGAGCTAAGATATTTAGCATGAAACATGTTCTAATGGGTGTCTACCAAGTTTGTTCAAATAAATGCCCTGGGGTCAAAATTGACCCCGCCCCTGGGAGTCATTGATTTTCCATATATGTGTATAACAAAAACTTCAAAAATCTTCTTTGAAAAAACCAAAAAAGTTAGAGTTTAGATATTAAGCATGAAACATCTTCTAGTGAGTATCTACAAAGTTTGTTCAAATAAAAGCCCTGGGGTCAAGATTGGCCCCGCCCCAGGGGGTCATTGATTTTTCCTATATGCATGCAGTAAAAACTTAAAAAATCTTCTTTTAAAGAACTCAAAGAGCTAGAGCTAAGATATTTAGCATGAAACATGTTCTAATGGGTGTCTACCAAGTTTGTTCAAATAAATGCCCTGGGGTCAAAATTGGCCCCACCCCGGGGGTCATTGATTTTCCTTATATGTGTTTAGCAAATACTTCAAAAATCTTCTATGAAAAAACCAAAATAGCTAGAGTTTAGATATTAAGCATGAAATATCTTCTATTGAGTGTCCACAAAGTTTGTTCAAATAAAAGCCCTGGGGTCAAAATTGGCCCCGCCCCGGTGTCATTGATTTTCCTTATATGTCTATAGCAAAAATTTAAAAATCTTCTTTGAAAAAACCTTAACAGCTAGAGTTTAGATATTAAGCATGAAACATCTTCTAGTAAGTGTCTACAAAGTTTGTTCAAATATAAGCCTTGGGGTCAAAACTGGCCCCGCCCCTGGGGTGTCATTGTTTTTAACTATATTTGTATAGTAAGAACATAAAAAATCTTCTTTTAAAAAACCTAATGAGCTAGAGCTTAGATATTTAGCATGAAACATCTTCTTATGGGTGTCTACCAAGTTTGTTCAAAAAAGACCTTGGGTTAAAATTGGCCCTGCCGGAGGGGGTGGGGGGGCAGGTCATTGTTTTTCATTATATGTGTGTAGTAAAAACTAAACATCATGAAACATCCTTTAATGGGTGTCTTCCAAGTTTGTTCAAATAAAAGCCCTGGGGTTAAAACTGGCCCCGCTCCGGGGGCCTCTATACAGGTGAGCGACCTCAGGGCCATAATGGCCCTCTTGTTAGAATTGCGTGTTACTATTTTTAGAATTGCGTGTTACTATTTATAGAAATTGTGTGTTACTATTTTTAGAATTGCGTGTTTCTATTTATAGAATTGCGTGTTTCTATTTATAAAATTGCGTGTTTCTATTTATAGAAATTGCGTGTTTCTATTTTTAGAATTGCATGTTTCTATTTATAGAATTGCGTGTTTCTATTTATAGAATTGCGTGTTTCTATTTTTAGAATTAAGTGTTTCTATTTTTAGAAATTGCGTGTTTCTATTTATAGAATTGCGTGTTTCTATTTTTAGAATTGCGTGTTACTATTTTTAGAATTGTGTGTTTCTATTTTTAGAATTGCGTGTTTCTATTTTTAGAAATTGCGTTATAAATTGAATTTATAAATTCAATACGATGCATACATCGAGGACAGGGCAGATCGCGATGTATTGATGAATCGTTACACCTCTATCAACTTCTATAAAAAAAAAAAAACCAAATACCAAATAATTTAAGTATTCTTTCGTGAAATGCTAAGATATTTTGCATGTAGCATTTCCTTCTGGATCTCTACATAAGTTATATAAGCCATGCCCTTTGGGTGGAAAAAGTCCTTAAATGGGTCCACGTAGTTATCATTGACTTGCGCTGTAAAAATATGTTCAAAACCTTATTCTCTTAAAATACAATTTCCAGAGCTTAGATATTTGGCATGTAAACTCACGTTTTGGTGCACTTTAGAAGTTTAATGTCCCTTGGGTTAAAAGGGATCCTGCCTCTAGGATCACTTTGTTTATATATACTTACTGGTACATAGTAAAACACATTCAATTATATCTTCTTTTGTGAAATTACAATGCCAAGGGCTTAGACATTTGTCATGAAGCATTTCGTAGCAGTCGTTTTAAATATTAAAAAAAATGATGCAGCTTGTGTAAAGCATGATTAACCCATTGTGACATCATTACGACTTTATCATTAAAAAAAAAAAATTGGGACTTTTTCTAGCAATGTACACATACCTCAAGGATGTAATGCTGTTATGTGCAAAGGTCTTTTAACCAACAATTATACGGTAAATATTTGCAAATTATTATTTTTCATTAAACTTTCAAATACAGGAAGGGAAATGATAAAAAGTGTTGAAGTCTTCTGTGGCAATGCAACTACAATTCAAGAACCTGTGCCAGCAAGATTGCTTGGAATGACAAAGCAAGAAACCAATAACACTGCAAGATTTATCAGTCCTGTGAAGAGTGTTGAAATAGATACAAGTCCTCATTTTTGTCTACTTTGCAAAGGTATCATTAACTTCTCTCTTAACATTTACTTAATTAGTGACCTGGCTAGCTCAGACTTAAATACTGAAGTCTGTCAGATGATAAATCAGCTGGTTTGACACAAAAAGAAATTAAAAAAAAAATGTTTTCATGATTTTCTTTGTAGTCCTGTACACTGCCAACAATACATTTTGATGGATAAATGGCATCAGTATTGAATACAGTTGATTAATTGTTCAAAAAGATGTACTTTTATGCCTGTAATAATGAACATAGTGCCCCCTTGCAGGATTCAAACTGCACTGAAATTAACACAATAGTAATTGTCTTAAACCCATAGGTCTCAGTTGTTTTGAAGTTGACATCTCTCTATCATTATACCCCCAAAAATGAAGTTTGGGGGGGTATGAAGGAGTCACCCGTCGGTCGGTTGGTCGAGACGTCCCTTGCATTTTCCTTGTCCGGAGCATAACTTGAAGACAAATGGTTGGAATTCAATATAACTACATACAATGGTCAAGCACATTGAGAGGAAGTGCAGTGCACAAGAACCATGACTCTATCTTGACTAAGTACAGAGTTATTGCCCTTTGTTACTTTTCCTTGTCCGGGGCATAACTTGAAAACTACTGGTTGGAATTAAAAACAACTTCATACAATTATCAAACACAATAAGGGAAAGTGCAGTGCACAAGAACCATACTCTATCTAAAGTAATTACAGAGTTATTGCCCTTTGTTACTTTTCCATTGCTTTCTTTTGTCCGGACCATAACTTGAAGACTAATTGTTGGAATTCATTATAACTTCATACAATGGTCAAGCACATTGAGAGGAAGTGCAGTGCACAAGAACCATAACTCCATCTTGAATTATTACAGAGTTACTGCCCTTTGTTACTTTTCCTTGTCCAGAGCATGACATGAAAACTACTGATTGGAATTCAAAAATCTTCATACAATGGTCAAGCACAATTAGGGGAAGTGCAGTGCTAAGAACCATAACTCCATCTTACTAATTACAGAGTTATTGCCCTTTGTTACTTTTCCATTGCTTTTTTTGTCCCGAGCATAACTTGAAGACTAATGGTTGGAATTCAATATAACTTCATACAATAGTCAAGCACATTGAGCTGAAGTGCAGTGCACAAGAACCATAACTCAATCTTGACTAATTACAGAGTTATTGCCCATTGTTACTTTCCTTGTCCAGAGCATAACTTGAAAACTACTGTTTGGAATTCAATACAACTTCATACAGTTGTCAAGGACATTAAAAGGAAGTGCAGTGCACAAGAGCCATAACTCCATTTGACAAAAATACAGTGTTACTGCCCTTTGATACTTTTCTTGTCAGGAGCATAACTTAAAACGTACTGGTTGGAATTCAAAACAACTTCATACAAAGGTCAAGCACAATAAGAGGAAGTGCAGTGCACAAGAACTATAACTCCATCTTCTGTAATTTATAGAGTTATTGCCCTTTTTTCCTTTTCCTTGTCTTTCTGGACTTATTACAGAGTTATTCAATAAAACTTCATCAAGGGCCAACCATTGAAAGGAAATGCAACATACAAGAACCACAACCATCTTAATTGCCCACAACCATAACTCTATATTTCAATTCTTTTACAAGGTATTCTGTTACTAGTAACGTCCTCATTTGGGAAGCAGTCTTGTGGGGGGTATTAATCACATTTAGTGATAGTTCTAGTTGTAATAGCTTATTACTAGAAGTGCCCCAGATACCTTTCTCAAAACCCTATAAAAAGCTGGAGTCACCATATAACTGAAATAGAGTATTGAATGAAATATATTATCTTTGTTCATATTTACATATTTATACAATGATCTCTGGCCTTTCCATTACAATACATTTGTTTGTTCATTTTGGGTTTAACGTCACATCGACACAGTATAGGTCATATCACGACGTTCCAGCTTTACTGGTGGAGGAAGACCTCAGGTGCCCCTCCGTGCATTATTTCAGGCTTGAACGGGTACCTGAGTAGAACCACCGACGTTCCGTAAGCTAGCTGGATAGCTTCCTCACATGAAAGAATCCAAAGTCCCTGTCGGAATTCGAACCCACAGAGGTGAGGGGCAAGTGGATTGAAGTCACGACCTTAACCACTCGGCATGGATGCCCTACAAGGTCAATTACAATTTATTTAATGTTAATTGCAGAAGGATTGTGTGTATAACAAGATTGAAACTTTCAGCATATTTTGTGCCCCCCCCCCCCCCTCCCCCTTCAAGCTTTTGCTTGTAGATTTATTAACTATTTGTACAGTTATTACCCAGGAGATGCTTTGGTAGTTTAGCAAGGAGGAAGGTAGTCTAGTACTGGTGTAACTCTCCAGGAACGATGGTTAGGAAACTACCCGCCTATATGACTGAAATACTGTTGGAAAAAGGCGTAAAATGAAACAAACAAACAAACATTTAACAAACAAACAGTTATTAACCTTGACTTTGTTAGAATTCGCAATTTTCAACTTGCATTGTTCATAGCCAAAAAATTATTTGACCTAGAGTCAGTAAACTTTACAGAAATGTTGGTCAGCATGTGTAGTTAAGCACCTGGGGGGGGGGTTTGCTTGTATATTTTACTTAGATAAAAACTGTTCCAAAATGTTGTTCATGTGTATCTCTAAAAGTGATCGAGAAACTTTACAGGAGTGTTGATCAGCATGTTAAGTTGTGGGGTTTCGCATTGTGGATTAATTAAGCTTCAATAGGGTTATTGCCCTTGGCTTAGTATAAATTTGCAATTTTAAAATGTGTGATGCATAGCTATAAAGTATTTTGACCTATAGTTATGAAACTTTACAGAAATGTTGGTCAGCACGTGTTAGCTATGCATCTACAGTTGGGAAAAATCAAGATATCAACATTGGAAAAGTTGGATGTCGTTTTTTTTCCCCCAACCACTTAAGGGTATGGAAGTCATATAGAAATTCCTTTTGTCTGTCCCTCTGTCATACTGTTCCTGCAGTACGTGCAGTACATCAGTGGAGAGTGGGGCAACTGTGTCCTATGGACACATTTCTAGTTTATTGTGTTTTACAAATTATCCACACTTTCTAATTTTAGTTTTACTGATATATTTAGTATTGTGTTTTTTTTGTTTGTATTTTGTAGACTTACCAACTTCCTTTGGATTGTTTTTGTGTATGCAAGAAAAATATAAATCAAATATGCAAAAGGAATTCTCCCATGATGTTGAGTTTATATTTCAATATAATGATTCAGAACATAAAACATTTGAAGAAGTAGACATGCTTACAGATACAAATAACTTTATTGAAATTCATAGTTCTAGATATACAAAAGAATTTTCGTCAACCGAGAATGAAGAGTTAAATAATCAAAAAGTATTGATAGGGTCTCTTGAAAATGGATTTGGTGTTAAGTTAGGGAACATCAATAGGGAAAGTAGTGGTTCTGTATCCAGAGATATTCACAGGTCATACCGATTATCAACTCATTGTCCGGTTCGAGGATATGACTGTAATTCAGTGCGAAAGCTTAGAGTGCAAGTTGTTCCAAATCAATTGTTACAATCTGAAGAGCAGTGTGATGTCAAAGTTGTTCAAGGTACAAGTTCAAAGCCATGGGAAATAAATCAAAACAATGATATCTTTTTCAATCTGAAATATAAAGTGAATGTAGAAAAATCGCCAAAGAAGAAAATTGACTGCACATTGCAAGAAGAGGACTTTGATCAAATGATGTTACTGAGAGGAATAACATGGTTGCCAATAGATCAGCTACCAGTACCTGAAATAGATCTTACAGTTGCACACCTTACAAATTTTGAACCTATAATGGAAATTATTGACCTAATTGCTGCAGGAACACCACCAACACCACACATCTCTATGAGGTATGAACTTCTTCGTTTCTGTACCTTACGTAGCTATCCGAAGGAAGACAAACCATATCTTATCAAGTTAGCTGAAGCTGGTTTTTATTATGCATCAGATGGTGATGGTGTTGTCTGCTATTGTTGTGGAATTCGTAGATATAACTGGACAGCAGAAGATAACCCTAAGAAAATTCATGAGAGGATAAACCCAAGCTGTAAGTTCTTGAGAAAAAATGAGGAAGTGAATGTACCAGTGCAGTACTTTGGACCATACAGTAAAGAATTAATGGCTATTATGGAGATACCTGAACCTATAGAAAGACCTCAGGTCAGTGAAGATGTAAATAATGACTGGGCTCCTGAGAGAATTCGTACTCCAGCATCACAACAACCAAACAGACCTAATGAATCAGGAACAAATGCACTTGGTTAGAAAATTATTAATTATACATTATGAGTTATTGTAAGAAAAGGTTAATTTATAATCAAAGTCATGGTCATTTTAATTTGTTTTTTAAAAAATCAACAAATGGATTTTTAGCTTATCTGTCACAAAGTGACAGGGTGAGCTTTTGTGATCGCTTTTCGTCCGGCGTCCGTCCGTCCATCCGGTGTCCGTAAACTTTTACTCTAAATGACATCTCCTCATAAACCACTAAGCCAATTTCATCCAAACTTCACAGGAATGTTCCTTTGGTGGATACCTTTAAAAAATGTTCAAAGAATTTAATTCCATGCAGAACTCTGGTTGCCATGGCAACCGAAAGAAAAAACTTTAAATATCTTCTTTTAAAAAACCCAAAGAGCTAGAGCTTAGATATAGGCATAAAACATCTTCTAGTAAGTGTCTACCAAGTTTGTTCAAATAAAAGCCCTGGGGTCAAAATTGGCCCCGCCCCAGGGGGTCATTGATTTTCCCTATATACATATAGTAAAAACTTAAAAAATCTTCTTTTAAAGAACCGATGGAGCTAGAGCTAAGATATTTAGCATGAAACATCATCCAGTAAGTGTCTACCAAGTTTGTTCAAATTAAAGCCCTGGGGTCAAAATTGGCCCTGCCCCGGGGGTCATTGATTTTCCCTATATGCATATAGTAAAAACTTAAAAAATCTTCTTTTAAAAAACCCAAAGAGCTAGAGCTAAGATATTTGGCATGAAACATCTTCTAGTAAGTGTCTACCAAGTTTGTTCAAATAAAAGCCCTGGGGTCAAAATTGGCACCACCCCAGGGGGTCATTGATTTGCCCTATTTGCATATAGTAAAAACTTAAAAAGTCTTCTTTTAAAGAACCCATAGAGCTAGAGCTAAGATATTTAGCATGAAACATCTTCTAATAAGTGTCAACCAAGTTTGTTTAAATAAAAGCCCTGTGGTCAAAATTGGCCCCGCCCCAGGGGGTCATTGATTTTCCCTATATGCATATAGTAAAACTTAAAAATTCTTTATTTAAACAACCCAAAGATTTAGCATGAAACATGTTCTAATGGGTGTCTACAAAGTTTGTTCAAATAAAAGCCCTGGGGTCAAAATTGGCCCCGCCCCAGAGGGTGATTGATTTTCCCTATATGCATATAGTAAAAACTTAAAAAATCTTCTTTAAAAGAACCCATAGAGCTAGAGCTAAGATATTTAGCATGAAACATCTTCTAATAAGTGTCTACCAAGTTTGTTCAAATAAAAGCCCTGGGGTCAAAATTGGCCCCGCCCCAGGGGGTCATTGATTTTCCCTATATGCATATAGTAAAAACTTCAAAAATCTTCTTTTAAAGAACCCAAAGAGCTAGAGCTATGATATTTAGCATGAAACATGTGCTAATGGGTGTCTACAAAGTTTGTTCAAATAAAAGCCCTGGGGTCAAAATTGGCCCCGCCCCGGGGGTCATTGATTTTCCTTATATGTGTATAGCAAAAACTTAAAAAATCTTCTTTGAAAAAACCCAAATAGCTAGAGTTTAGATTTTAATCATGAAACATCTTCTAGTGAGTGTCTACAAAGTTTGTTCAAATAAAAGCCCTGGGTGGTCAAAATTGGCCCGGCCCTGGGGGTCATTGATTTTCCTTATATGTGTAAAGAAAAAACTTAAAAATCTTCTTTGAAAAAACCCAAATAGCTAGAGTTTAGATATTAAGCATGAAACATCTTCTAATAAGTGTCTACAAAGTTTGTTCAAATAACAGCCCTGGGGCTAAAACTGGCCCCGCCCCAGAGGTGTCATTGTTTTTAACTATATGTGTATAGTAAAAACTTAAAAAAAACTTCTTTTAAAAAAACCCAATAAGCTACAGGTTAGATTGTAGGAAACATCTTTTTGTGGGTGTCTACCAAGTTTGTTCAAATAAAAGCCCTTGGGTTAAAATTGCCAAAGGGGGGGGGGGGGGGAGGTCATTGTTTCTCATTATATGTGTTTAGTAAAAACTCAACATCATGAAACATCTTCTAATGAGTGTCTTCCAAGTTTGTTCAAATAAAAGCCCTGGGGTTTAAACTAGCCCCGCTCCGGGGGCCTAAATACAGGTGAGCGACCTCGGCCATCATGGCCCTCTTGTTTACTTACAAATTTATCTAAACATACATTTGTTTTATGAAGCTTTCCTCATTAAACAGACCGTTTTAAGGATAAAATAGCTAACCCAAAAATAAGAAAATAATTTCATAGCTTTTAAGAATGCTGTTAATATTAATGGAAGGAATCTATTGTTATACTTTAACAGGTATAAATACAGCTATACCTAAGCATTCTCAGTATGCTACAAAGACAGCTAGAGAAGCTAGTTATAGTACATGGCCTGATACATCCAGCCATACACCAGAGGTACTTGCTGATGCAGGCTTCTTCTATGCTGGTAAGTTCTTTGTCTCGGATAATTCTCAACACTTGTGCCTTCAGATTATGCATTTCCCATATGAATGGTTTACATTCTTCATCTGTCTATTTGTATTTTTAGCTGTCAATTTAAAGTTTAGAGGATTTCAAAATACACATATTGCTGAGTTGTCAAGTATAGAGCCCTGTCAGATTGTGCAGATTTGTAGACAGACCTGGTTCTGTACTGGTGCAAAGGCTAAAATATTTCAATGTCTGCAGGTTAATGGTTAGTAGTTATTGAATGAAATGTTGTAAAATTTACTACAAATATAAAATAAAGGTTAGTTGTCATTTTTTTTATTTCAGGTTTTGGAGATTGTGTCCGATGTTTCTATTGTGGCATTGGTAAGGCATCTAAGTTATTTGAGTAACATATATTTAGATCTTTAAACTTAACAAAAATTACTTATCAATTATGAAATGTGTGTAACAGAATCACATTTTGTTTCTTATTTGGGATGGTAAGGGGAATAAGTATTATTCATGTATACTGGTGAGTTTGTATTAATTTCTTCAAATTTAACTGTGTTTTGATATAACACTTTTATGCGATCTGCGATGCGGTGGCATATAGTGATTCACCTGTGTGTGTGTGTTTGTTTGTGTGTGTGTTATTGTGTCGCCTTGAAAAAGGCGACATATAGGGGTTACTTTTGTTGGCGGCAGCATTATCTGTGCGTCGTCGGCGTCGTTGTCCGCGTCCCCTGAAGCTTGTCCGGAGCATAAGTCAGTCATTATAAATTTGATTGACTTCAAACTTGGTATGCATGCTTCTCATAATGACCCAAAGTGCAGTGCACAAGAACCGGTACTCTGTACTTCTTATTTTTGGAGTTATTGTCCTTTGTTTATTTTCATACTTTATTTTTGTCCGGGCTATTTCTCCTTAAGTATAAAATCTATGGACTTGAAACTTCATAGGATGATAGATCTCATTAAGAAGAAGTGCAGTGCACAAGAACTGGATCTCTGCATTTTTTGAGTTATTGCCCTTTGTTAATTTTCATACTTTATTTTTGTCCAGGCCATTTCTTCTAAAGTATAAAAGCTATGGACTTGAAACTTTATAGGATGATAGAAATCATTAAGAAGAAGTGTAGTGCACAAGAACTGGTACTCTGCATTTCTTATTTTTAAGTTATTGCCCTTTGTTAATTTTCATACTTTATTTTTGTCCAGGCCATTTCTCAAAAATTATAAAAGCTTTGAGACTTGAAACTTAATAGGATGGTAGATTTTATTGATAAGAAGTGCAGTGCACAGAAACTACTGATCTGCATTTTATATTTTTTGAGTTATTGCCCTGTGTTGATTTTCAAATTTCATTTTTTTCTTTTTGCCATTTCTCTTATACTATATTGTTCACAAGGCGACACATCTGACATGCGGAGTTCTAGTATAGATTATATAGTGAACTTAAAAAATCTTCTTGTGAAAAACCACTTGTCCAATTTCAACCAAACTTGGCAGGATTGTTCCTTGGGTGAAGGGCTTCCAAAGTTGTTCAAAGAATTTCATTCCATGCAGAAATCTGGTTGCCATGGCAACCAAAAGGAATTATAAGAATAAATTTAAAAAATCTTCTTGTAAAGACCCAAAAGGCATAGAGCTTAGATATTTTGCATAAGGCATTGTCTGGTAGACCTCTAACAAGATTGTTCAAATTATAGCCCTGGGGTCAAAATTGGCCCCACCCCGGGGGTCATTGATTTTCACTATGTACATATAGTAAAAACTTCAAATACCTTCTTGTAAAAACCCAAAAGGCCTAGAGCTTAGATATTTTGCATAAGGCATCATCTGGTAGACCTTTACCAAGATTGTTCAAATTATAGCCCTTGGGTCAAAATCGGCCCCGCCCCGGGGGTCATTGATTTTCGCTATATGTACATATAGTAAAAACTTAAAACACCTTCTTGTAAAGACCCAAAAGGCCTAGAGCTTACATATTTTGCATAAGGCATTGTCTGGTAGACCTCTACCCAGATTGTTAAAATTATAGCCCTGGGGTCAAAATCAGCCCCACCCCAGGGGTCATTGGTTTTCCTTATATGTATATAGTAAAAACTTTAAAAAAATTCTTCTAGCAATTGACAAATGCTAGAGGTTAGATATTTTGCATGAAACATTGTGTTGTAAACCTCTAGCAAGATTGTTAAAATTATAGCCCTGGGGTCAAAATTGCCCCCGCCCTTGGGGTCATTGATTTCAATATATACATATAGTAAAAAATAAAAAAAAAATGTTATTGTCTGAAGGTACAAGGCTTAGAGCTTTCATATTTGTTAAATAATATCATCTAAAGGTACTCTATCAAAGTTGTTCAATTTTTGCCTCTTGTGTCAAAATTAGCCCCGCCCTTGGGAGCCATAGGTTTATCTTATATGTATATAGTTAAAACTTAAAAAATCATCTTCTCTAAATTTACAAAGGATAGAGTTAAGATATTTTGCATGAAACATTGTGTATTGAACCTCTAGCAAGATTGTTCAAATTATAGCCATGGGGTCAAAATTGGTTCCGCCCCGGGGGTCATTGATTTTCATTATGTACATATAGTGAAAAAAAATTTTTTTGTCTGAAGGTTCAAGGCATAGAGCTTTGATGTTTGATATATAATATCATCTATAGGTCCTCTACCAAAGTTGTTCAAATGTCAAAAATTGGCCCTGCCCGGGGGCAGTGATTCTCATTATGTACACGTAGTAAAAACAGAAAATAAAACAAATGTTTTCTGAATGGGAGAAAGCTATAGCTTAGATATTTGACTTGAAATGTTGTTTGGTGGACCTTAATCAAGATTGTAATTAAACCCTTGGGTCAAAATTTTGCCTTGCCCAAAAGGACAGTGACCTACTTTCTTGTCCTTTGATGTACAGCAATGACATTTTGACCATGTGCACAGTTTTAGTTGTAAAATTGAACTTTTACCTAGATTTTGATGATGTGACCTACTTTCTTGTCCTTTGATGTACAGCTATGAAATTTGAACCATGCGGTGGCATAGCATTTTTCTCAAATGCAATCTTGTTTACAAATGCAATCTTGTTCTCACTGCTGTTATTCACTGAGACACTGAAACATAAAGTGGTATCATGTCTTTCACAATGAATGATAGCCATGTACATGTCTAAGATGAAGATAATCTTCAATTAGAAATGACTTGTTCATTATTGTCTCTGCTTGTATTTCAATTTTGTAGTAAACATATATTGTTGTGTTGCTAGATTATATTTACTTTGTTGCCTCAGTCACTTTTTTGTACCTTCAGTCTGTCTGGGTTAATAAAATAGTTCTCTTTTGGCATCAAAAAAGATAAAAATATCATTGACTCAAAGTATGAAGCATTTACATTTACTATTTGACTTTTTCGGCACGATGGGGTTAATCATCATATTGTCTGCTATTGCTTTGGAGGGAAGGCCTTCCTAACAATTGACATGAGTAGTTTTCACATGTGTCTGTTATATATTAGTTCATGTTATACAAATATATGTGTCAGAATATTTACTGGTCTGTGGTATACGACCTTGTTGTATGAAATTTTAAGTTGTGTACATGTTTTTATGTAGGATTGCGTCATTGGACAGCAGAAGATGACCCTTGGATAGAGCATGCTCGGTGGTCCAAGAACTGTGTGTTTGTCAAACAGAAGAAAGGAGAAGAGTTTGTGAACCTTGTCCAGTTAGCAGTACAATATTCTCAAGATGTTAGTAGCAATTTTTATGTTCTTCACATACATTTTGTATGGTTGTCAACTTCAAGATTTATATGCTTTTAACTAATTATATTTTTGTAAGCTTTACAAGAAAAAGATAATGTATAGTCTGATTTGTTTTTCCTTCAATTCTTCATTTAAACAATTGTCTCATTTTGTATTCATATATTTATAGATATTTTATATACTTGCATGGAACATACCATTGTGTGAATATAGGATAAATAGGGTCAAGTTGGCTCAGTTATACAAAGTTATTTGTCTCATTATAAGACATTAGCTGTGTTTTAGTCAGATCAGGTGGCATGTTATAATCATTATGTCTAAAATAGTTGAAGGTGAAATGGTAGGTAGACAAGTCTAGTAAAGAATTGTAGCAGAAAAGGTTGATAACATGAACACAGAATGATCACTGATATGCACTGGTATCCTTAAATACAAATAATATTGTAGCTGGTTTTAGCAAGGAGCTCATTTGTGTCGGATAATACATGTGTCGGATAATATATGCAGGGATATTTTGTGTTTTACTTTAAAGCTTTATTATCACAACATTAAATTTATACTACTGTAAATCTAGTCCTAATTATAAGACCTATACGTAACCTATTTCATATTTATCATTCATTAATCTGATATTTTACATTTTTCATTTTCCATGTTACGTTAGGTCTTAACAGATCTTTGCAAAATCGTGTAGCAAAAAAAAATGACATTAGACATCGATTTAGATCTAATGAATTTAAACAATTAAAACAGCGTGTATTTACATTAATTTTGACCTATTTATGAACAAAACTAAAAAATAAATACCTTTAAACAAAATAATTGAACTGTCACAACCGAAAAGTCATGATTAAATCCTCTCATTTAATTAAATTCTTTGTACAACTGATATACAAATGGCCGCCATACAGTGCGCGAAATCTGATTGGCTAATTCAAATGCAAGCGTTTAAATGAGTCCAGAAGTTTCTAACGGAATATTTTTTCAACGAAATAATTGCCCATGCACCGTCAGTGTGTTCAAATATATTTTTCCGTTCAAAAAATTGGAATCAATCTGTAAAACGCTTTGCTTAACCAGTATGGCCGATGAGCGA